AATTGAATAAAGGTACAAAAGATGTTAATTTTAAGTTTCCAAGGCACCTTAAGCTATGGAAGTTAGTATACTTTGGCAGCCATTTTCTCCATAATTTTACCTCTGAAACCAGGTGACCCTCACCTCCTTCAATCGCAAATATGTCGACTTCTATTCTACATAGATGGACATTTTCCCACCTAAAGCAAGATAAATGAACAGGCTAAAAGATGATATCAATAACCTCATATGCCCAAAAATTAACGAGCGTCTGATTCCACCACGTCTTGCCTCATTCTTAAAAATTATCTTCTTGCCTTCTCCGTCTGTTTACTGTACACCATTAGTGGCATTAGCCTCGGCTCCCAACACAGTTTTGTTTTTGTCGGGCTCTACCGATTTAGTTTTAGTTTTAGTAAGAGTTTAACGGCACTTGGAAAACAATAAGGACAAATACGTGCCGAAGAATAGATGTGTTACAAGAGAGTAACATACACAGAAAAGAAGGAATAGAGATGAGGACGACAGATGTTTAACAGGAAAGAAGGTGCAAACCATAACCAGAGCACCCGCCAACCACCAGCCGGATCTGTCGATCGACCGCCTATGTAGGCAATATTATACTAACGAATTTGTCAGAAACACTGAAGTTAGGAGTTCGAATTCAGAATCTCTAGGGTGACGTTTAGGTACAACAGAAACAAAATACAATGTAATAATCAAATTGTCATGAAACTTTTGTTTAAAAAAAAACCCTACTAATATTTACTAACTCAATACTCAATAATAAAAAATACCATTTGGTGCCCCATCTAGATCACTAAGATCAGGCAATCCGTATCTTTTAAGAGTTCATAGAAAAGGAAATAAAAAAATAGCTGAAAAATCGTTTGCCCATCTCGCCATATTAGTTTAGAACTCTCTTCCCCACCCCTTGAGACATACAACATCTGAGTGTGAATTTAAAATATATTTAAGTCATTTTTATGTCAGTAGATTCATGTTCAGTACAATGTTATGAAAATGACTATATATCCATTTATGTATTTTGCGAATTGCATTGAGTATATTATTTTATTATGCTTTTGTATGTGCTCATTTCGTAACCATGCGTAAGCGTGCGCGTGTGATAAGCAAGTAGATGTGTATGTGTGTGTGTGTGTGTGTGTGTGTGTGTGTGTGTGTGTGTGTGTGTGTGTGTGTGTATGAGTGTGTTTGTGCGTGTGTTTGGCGAGCATGTGTGTGCACACGCGTAGGTGTAATGTGTGTGCGTGTAATGTGTGTTCGTGTATGTGTGTTTGTGTGTGTGAGTGTTTGTGTGTGTGTGTGTGTGTGTGTGTGTGTGTGTGTGTGTGCGCGTGCGTGCGTGGGTGCGTGAATTTATGTACAGCGCCTAGAGTTGTGTTCACACGGGAGTTGACGCAATAGAACTGATCTTCATTATCATTATTATTTGTAACGCAAATCCCTGCTCAACAACAAGCTGTATGTGCTTCACAATCTGCAATTTAAACTCATGCACAATGCAACAAACAAAAAAAGTAAACCTGTATGAACTTTAAATGTCTAAAAGGCACATGAGGTGTAGCGGTCTGGTACTTCGCTGTCGCAGGCAGGAGACCTGAGTTCGATCCAGTAAAGGGACATTTTTGGAAGTATCTCGGTCTTTCTGCTGGGATGTTGAAATCTTGAGAGGCCTGCAGCCCCTGAGGCTAGGGTCTTTTTGTTTTTGTTTTGTTTTTGGTAAGTGTTTTACGGCGCTCGCAACTACATAAGGTCATATTAGCGCAGGGGACACATTAAACATGTTCTGTTGGTAGGAAATTTTGAATTTTGGCGGGGGCGGCCGAAGACTACTCTTTTCGATTTCAGACCTCCAAGGGATCTTTATTGTGCGCAACGTGCACTCGGGACCTCCGAGATTTTTCGCCTTTGTCCGAGAAGGCTAGGTGCAGATCTTTCCTACCAGAAGATCAGGGGTGTGGCTGAAAGACAACGGTAAGAAGTAGCCAATGAGTAGTAGTAGAAAGACTGCAGAAAGGGTCAGAAGCCCAAAGGAGGAGGAAAAGGAGGTGAGGGGGTGGGGACAGAAAGTGGAGACGAAAGCAGACGATAGAACATTGTGAGTAACTAGGAAAGAAGGTGAAAGGAGATAATTTTAGAGAGGACATTTTTTAGAAGACATTTTTTTCTGTCGCTTCTCGGATTCGAACCCGAAACTTTTTAGTTTTAGTAGTTTTAGTAGTGATTTTACAGCGCTCGCAACTGCAAAAGATCATATGAGCGCCAAAAGATTAGAGATGTTACAAGAGAGTAACACACATAAAAAAGAAGGAGGGGAGATAAGGACGATAGATGTTTAATAGCAAAGAAGCAAACCACACCATAGCACCCGCCAACAACCAACCCCAAGACCCTTGAATGAAAGGCGAACACCTTGACCTCTAGGCCACGAGAGCCCCCCCCCCCCCCCCCCATCAGGGCAGGGTAGAAAGCCCGACTCCTGAATGCTCTCTAAAAGGTGTTGATAGGGGGGTTATTACACCTACAGTAAAAATCATCATCATCCTGTGACTGATCTGTGACAGACATTGGCGATCATGGTTCTCCATTCACTCCTTTGCTCGGATGCTCTTAAAAAAGCTGCGTTTCCCTGATCTTTCCCCATTACCCTTTTGATTAGGTTCCCTAAGTTTGTTTATCTGGGCCTACCCCAGCCTCGTTTGCCTTCAATTTTGCCAGTGAGAGCTAGATGTTCAAAACCTTTAAGTCTATTAAGGTGTCCCAAAAACAGTATTTGTCGTTTCCTGATTGTTTTTAACAGTGAGCGTCCCAGTGTATTTAAAATGCGTTTCTGAAAACCGCTCCGGTCATAGGCGGCCAAGCTCTTTGGCCAAGACTGGATGCTACTTGTGTCTTTGCAGAGCCCTGACATAGGCACTATCTATTGATCTGTTCTGAAGTCCACCAAGCTCTGTTGGTGAAAAACAGCTGATACGGTTCGCTTGTGTTCAAATGACAGCCTTTACACAGACGCGCAAAGGAGTTGAGGTGG